GGAAAGCATAGCCTAGAATCTATTTTCTCATGCTTGATTTATTTAGAATAAGCCTTCAGTAGTGTTAGAATTTATTTTTGCATTCATTCATTAGTTTAGAATAAAGACTCCAATCAAATTTGCATTTGTCTAGATAATATTTAATCGTCTATATTTTGGTACTTAATTAGTTTTACAGCAGTCTCTGTGGAATACGACCTTGCTCGCCGCTTTCTGCAGCTACTCCGTACACTTGCGGGTAGTGAAAATATTTTGCGAACAAATTTCCGTTGGAAATTCCAATGAATATCCAACAAACTTAATTTTATGTTGGAAAAGTGTTGGATGGTTGAGGAATTCCAACGGATTTTTTCCGTTGGAATAGCTGTAGGAATTTATGTCTATAGGATTTTTCGTTGGATTCTAGCTATTCCAACAGCCATTTTTCCTACGAATTTTTATATGTAGGAATATCCGTTGGAATACCTATTCCAACGGATATATAAAGAATTCCAACGGAAAATTTCCGTTGGAATGTAAGAGATATTTTTGTAGTGAAATAATCCATATTTTAATTATTTAAAAAAATATTTGTTTTAATTATTTTTACCCTTATCGGTTCGGTATCGCTTTTTACCGAACTCTTATGGATTCAAACCGATACCGTACCGATAGTGATTCGGTAACGGATAGTCGGTTACCGTTACAAGCGGTTCGGTATGGTTTGGTTTATTTTCTCGTCGGTTCGATTTAGTTCGATTCGATTTTCGGTTAAAAAATGCCAGCCCTACTAAAACCAAGTTAAATGCAACCAATTGATTTGATTTAATTTAATAATTACTACTAGAAATAGATAATTTAATTTTAAAACAGAAAAAAAAAAAGATAATTTCCCCACAAGTCCTCTCTGATCACAAATATAGCAAGCACTCTGCACCATCAAATGTACAATTTCTGGCCACTCTATTGTTCCTTTCACCGAGTCCACGTCGTCCTCTCTTCTCCTCCTTCAACCTCGCAAAAGTAACACTATATATTTTTACTACACAGTAATAATTAAAATTATTCCACCACCAAACACACATT